GTTCAGGTAAGAAAGTTGCAAATTACTGTCTGTTAGCGTCCTCAATGACCTTTACTTAATTTGAACCAGACCAACATCTTTCTCAAAAAGGAATCAAACATCTCAAGTACTTCTGAATCTTGTCATGCTTTAGGTTTCTTCCTGCTTTTTGTTCTTTCCTTCTCTACCACTCTTTCCTGTTTACAGATCCTGAAAGAGAGAACTTCTACCTACACATTTGATAATACTTTATAAGCCCTGCTAAAATAAGAGTCCTTATCAAAAAGCTTTGTTTGAACTACAAGCAAACAGTAACCACCACAGCCTTGTCTGATCTTGGCCTCCTCCTCCTTGCCCCCAGAAATGTTAACAACAGTAACAAAACAAAGGCTGGATCAATTTCACAGGAAAAAGCTACTCCTCAGTACCAGTTGTACTGGAATTAACAAAGTCAGCATTATTTAAATATTAGCATTATTAAATTTATTGATTCCAGAAAGCCATTAGACTTATCAGACATCAATTTCTATGAAATTAAAAGTTTTAGATTGAAATCAATGAAACAATCCCTATTATTTATTAAATTGGGCTGTCACTGTGAAGTTAATCTCTATAATCTTGTTTGGCTATGACACAGTATCAAAACATATATTGAAGTACAAAACACAAGCCAAGCAGAATAGGTAGAGCAAGTGAAGGAGCAGTTGCAGTTGGTAGAAAGCTTAGAAGCACAAGATACTCTCTCCTCTCCCCAGAATCAGGCTTCTCCAAGAAGATGCTTTGACAGCATTACTTTTACATCTGAGACCCATACATAAGCCTCCCTTGCACAACATAAGTGCTGATAACTGTTAGCACCCCAGCATTTGCAGCTTTACAGAAACGGGGGAGTAACCAGATGCAACTTGCATACATTAGTCAGGCAGCAGAAAGGCAAACTGAAAGATCCTCCTGAAAAAAGGATTTATTTTTGTGAACCTAGAGTTAAATGAACAACCAAACAGACTGTGCAGGTAGCCATCCTCCCAAAACAGAAAGAATATTAGTAAGAATTGGATGGATTCTCCAATAATCCTTCTAAAATAACTGAGAAACAAACATACAAATCAGAGAAGTTCAGGTACTCTCACAGCTTTGTGTTTGGTTACCAGAGAGCTCCTATTTGCAATCAGTTTACTAACTGTGCATATCTCCTGTGTCATTATGGCTCCTATTGTATTTTCCTTGTCATAGGAGCATGACATCATGAAATTGCTGTAGAAGAACAAAGTCTTTGCACTGGACAACACCACTGCACATCATGCAAAACTCTTTTGTCTACTTCTACTAATAAGCATAATTCAGATGGCTTGTAGTTTTGGAATAGCACCTTACATGCCAAACATAGTGGGTCAGTAGAGCAAGCCACAAAGTTCTTTGTAAAGCTACACAGGAACATCTAGCAAGAAGAAACTTTCTGATGATCAATTGTTTTTTCCACAGAATTTCTGCACAGAAATAAATCTTCCAGTTACTGCCAGCTCCCCCTTCAATAAACCACTTTAAATGAAGATCAAGTTCCTAGCAGCATCACGCACTCTTATTGGCGTGTATGAACCACACTACTTACATATGTTTAAATCCTCTAACATCTCTCAAGCCAAAACATTCTTGAGGAAAAATACCCACAGCAGTCCCATACATAGTTTAACATACTAATTACAATATCGTACCAGAAGACAACTAGAAGATATAAGTTTCCCTGAACAAATTTAACTCCTCCAATAGTTTTCTGAAGAAAGAATTGGAGTTGGAGCAGATGCAATCTGTACAAAACTAAGTAAAAAATGATGTTCCTCAGCACTGTCCTACAAAAACGTTTGAGAATTCTTTTCCCATTTTCTTACCACAAACTGAATGGAGCACTTCAAGCTATACAGATTGCCTTTGCCCCCTCCATCAGCCAGGCTCCCTTTACAAGCAATGTGTCAGCATGCACAGAGAAGCCTTAGGATGCACCACAGCTTTGCATTCTGCTTGCCAGAAGTCCCAGCTTCCCAAATCAAAGGTAAAAGCAGTAGGCAGCCTGCTTTGAGCATTGATTCACCTGGGACTTGGTACAGCAAGATATTCCAGTTGATTGAAGTAGCCTCAGAGGAATACAAAAAGCAGCCTTCCTATCAAGTAAGACATCACAATGGACAATTTTCATTATCCGAGACAAGTTCTCATCGTTATCCTCATCTAAGCATAAAGCTCTGTGTCCCAGCAGGAATGCAGACCCTCGAGTCCACTTCAGCTGTTCTGCTCTACTAACACCACTATGCATAACACACACAAAACTCTCCCCAAAGCTAAGGCTAAGCCTCTCCTCCAAGAGGCAAGATGTCAGCAACCACTTTGTTCCACTACCACAACTGCAGGTAACTTGAGACAAAGCCAAACAACTCTCCTCATCTCACCATCTTGTCTCACCTGCTCCAGGCTGGTTAGAAGCAGCACACCCCCTCACTCAGCAAGCTCTTTAGAGAAGAAAATACAAAGTAATACAATCTATATAGTACTGGAAAGGTAGTAATTGAACATCCCAAAGCGTGCATGACAGTTCTTATTTGTTACTTGTCCTCAGAGGAGCTGCAGCATTAAGAGTACCACAAAAGAGGGCTGCAGCCACATCCCTTCTCGCTGCAGGCTGAGGCTCAGGTCGCAGCAGCGGCACGGGACCATCCAGGAGCACAGCAAGGTGGTCATGGCTCCTGTAGGGACAGCTTTCCTAGCATGGCCGGGCACCAGCAACCGCTTGGCCCACAACCCACTCGTGGTAAGGGCTAGGACAGGAAGTTTGGAGTAAGCTGCCACAGCGACTACCTCAAGAAAATCCCAGAACGTAAAGCTCCCAGTCCCTCTGGTAGCAGTCCCCAGCTGCACGCTCAGTTCAGAGTAAACATAATAAATCAAACTCGACAAGAAAAAAAAAAAAAACCTATAAGCCCACCAGTGCCTGAACTTTCACGGACGAGCTGAGCCCGTGTCCTGGGCAAAGGGGACTCCCAGCGCAGCGGACGCGTACGCCGCGAGCACCTGCCGGTCCCGCCGGAAAGGTTCCGGAGCAAAGCCCGCAGGGCACCGCGGTGCCTGGGTGGGGCCACGGGCACAGGCTCGGCTGCCGGCCCAGCCCTCCGAGAGACCCCCCGCAACCGGACCCCACGCGGGAAGCCGAAGCCCGGCCCGGGCAGCCCATCCGCCGCGCTCACCTGCGGAGGGAAGGGGAGAGAGGGGGACCTGGGCCGGGCCGAGCCGCGCCGCGCCGCCCTGGCCTCGCTTCGCTCCGCGCTCGTTCCCCCTTCTCTGCGCGGCGGCGGCCTCACTGGGCACCTCTGGGAGGGGTGCGGCAGGGCGGGGCCTCGCGTGCAAACTGCGCTCCGGGGGCGGAGCTCCGCCTGTAAGCCACGCCCCTCCGGAGGAGCTCCGCATGCAAATCATCGCATCTGCGGCCTCTTCCATCCGCCGCGGGCATGGCTATCATAGAACACCTCCAGTACTATCACAGAATCACAAGGTTTCTCCTTATGTTTAAATAACCAGTTCAGCTCTCAGCCTGCTTCGAGCCAATCGGAAAGCAGCTGCTGCAGACACCGCCCTATGGACAGTCCCTACTCCTCTCACCCCCCCCAGCTCACAAGCAGCACCCCCAGTGGGCTCAGGTAGGTGCGGACGTGTGTGGAGCAAGGAGGGAGTCAGGGCCAGAAAAGCCTGTTTCATGCTGCTTCTGCTCTGCTTATCAGGGAGCCCTGCACAGGGCAGCGACACAGGACAAAGCCAGGCAAAGACTCCAACCCATAATGAGCTGCAAAAATGAAAGGGATGGGAAGACTTAATAGGAATTTGAAGTGAAGCCTTAGTTGGATAGAGCAACAGAACTGCTGCTATCTTGTTACCCAACTCTATTGCTGACAGTCTGTCTCCTATTACAAGGAGCTTGGCAACAAATGACTAGTTACGTGACAGTGCAGTAACAGGTGGAAGTCTGCAACCGTGAAAAGTTAATTACCTTTGATAAGGGCTAACCGTCAGTATTTCAACCCAGCTTCCAAAGGTGAAGGTTTTAATTTAAACTACTTGCTTCCATCATCACCTTGCAACATCCTGTCAATCCACACCATAGGCCAAAATGAAGCAGTGGTATCAGTCTGCATCGTAATCTCAACCAGGTAGACATTGTCTGATGTTGTGGTGCTGAGCAAGGCAGCCAGTTTCTCAATCCTCCCTGCAGTGATTATTAAGTTGTAATTGTTTTGTGCTGAATCAGGCAGTCTCTGCCCCAGTGAAACTCTAGGGCTCTTGAAACTAGGTGGCTCTTGTAGAATTCCTCAGTGCAATGCCACTTTGGCATAAACAGATGGGACTGACTGAAATCAACATGAATGAGTTTGACCTAATTCCAGGACAAACAAGAACCCTATGTCAGACTGGAGCTGTCCTGTGTCTGTTCTTAGAAATTCTCTTCCCACTGCCTTTTAATCTGCAAAACAGTCTGAGTGAGTGCTGAAGGCACAGACTGGAACTGCCAACTGCCCCAGCTTCTAAGGAGGACTACCAAAGCAAAAGCACAGCCTCCAGGCAGAGGAGTTTGTGTAGGACGAGCTGTCAGACCCTTACCGTAGCAAAGTCCTGCTGAATTCCAGCATTCCAGGTAACACGAGTGAGTGAATGATGCAGGAACAAGAACAGTGCTTGCAGCAGATTGCTGCCACTCTGAGCTACAATACTTACAACCGCACAGGAGGAAGATCACAAGGTGTTGTGTGCCAACAGGAACTGCATGGGGAAGCAGGCTCCTCCAGGCTCTGAGTCACACTGCCCTCCTTGGAACAAGGAAGTAGGATCCAAACACAGGCGTAGGAGTTACATAGCCTCATGGTTACAGGACTATGAGCAGGCATTCACCCAATGGTGCTACTAGGAGCCCAGCAGTTTCCCCAAAGTATCTCTCTGTGTAACTCACATTTTGGGGGAAGTTAAGAAACAGACTGAGAAGCCTGCACAATTGGAAAAGGTTCTTTATTGCTTAAACTTCTCCCCACCTCCAAAAGGAACTAAAGAAATATCACATAAGATACATCTAAAACAGCTGCTATTACACTTCTAAAGAATCCTAGATACTGAACACAGCTGGGCTCAGCACTCACTAAGCAGACTTTCTGGCACCTGACACTGGTACTTTTGCATAGATTCTAAAGCAAATTTGGTACCTGGATATAACACTCACATGATAAGGCCTTGAAAGCAACAATGTCCTTGGTTCGGAGCACAACAGCCACAGGCCTGGAAGGCTCAGAAGGTACTTCTACCTTCTTTCTCTACACAGGGATCTCTCACTTGAGAAACACAAATAAAAGTCCACAGCCAGAAAAGAGGACATCAGGTTAAAACAGGGGCTGCAGTGAAGCCATGCTAAGACTAACAGATACAGCATGCCAATACTGGTGGTATAACTCTAATATGGCATAATGCTGTACAGTCAAAATACATCTCAGCCCAACTGCAACAGCAGGAGGCTAGGCACCATCTGCAGTATTCTGGGGCCTTCTGCAGTCTCTGAGTAATGAGATAGTGTGCAAGGTACTAAGTTTCCAGCTCTCAAGTGCCTGAAAATTTTTTATCAGGGTGGCTGAATTTTATGGCTGTTTCATTTTCAACTATTGGATAAGATTCTGATCTGTTGGAGCAAACGAATGATGGAGGCTCAGGACACCACCACTGATCTGATCAGCTTTTTCTGCCCTTGGCTGATGTCAGTGACTCCAATTGCTCAGCTGGCCTAGCATGGTGGTTCCTAGAATATAATAAGGGCTTTACAGCAGTAGAGCGCTTTCTAATGTTCCACAGATCAGCCATGACACAGGAAAGGCAGGCTAGTGGTCCAGATGAGAAAGCTGCAGAACCAACACCTTCAAGAACAGGGTGTGTACTCCAGTCCAGAAATGCCCATTGTTTTCAGTGCATTTTGCTGCCATGCATGAGCCAACTCCCATTTGGGTGAAACCTCTAACAGCAAATACAGTGCTACCACCTAAAATAACATCTGGTTACCACTGGCTCTATTTTCTGTAATATTTCATTAATCAAGAAAGCAAATCCTGAGTGAAGATCCTTCCTTCAGCCCACGCCATTTCAGTTAATGTCTTCAGTAGTTAGCATCAACTGGCAGCTTGAATTCCTTTAGCGAGTAGAAGGCAATTTCTCCATGGTCCACCAGAGCAAAGACCACTGGGACGTCCCCACTCTGATGTGTGATCTGCTTCAAAGCCCGAAGGGATGGGACTTGCTCATCAAAGCTGTAGAGAGGAAAAACAGCCCATTGCTCTCAGAGCAAGAATATATAAACAAATTTGTTCTGGTCAGCAAGAAAACAGCTCCTTCTGGTCTTAGGAGTTAGTAAACCCCTCCATCCTTTTCAAACAAAGCAGGAAGCTGCCAACCCCCCAAAAGTATGTTTTAAGTCAGGAACTGGAAGCTGTCAAATCCTTTGCCAAAAACAAAAGCATCTGCACAATTCTCTGTGCCCATAAGATGCAGCTCACAGGGCCACTGGCAAGTTGCCAACCCAATGCAATCTTAACACCTTTGTGCTTGGAAGATCTTTAGGCTACTCAGATCAAGACCTGATTTTTTTTTTTTCCCCTTCTTTTAATTCTACAGAGCTTGCTCATGGATGGAAGTGTTTATGCAGCAAGGATCATCCCACTTGTCAATGACAGAGATTTTGTCAAACTGCACTACTGCCTTCCTTCCTGTCTACTACAGCTGCACAGAGTGGAAGAGGGACAGTTCTTTAATATACCAAAATTAAGATACTAGACTGGGGACAGGACTCTGTACCTACCTACAGAATTTAAGTATTAGATTCTGGATCCAGCAAGAAAGGAAAACACCTATCTTCTGTTTGTACTGATTTTAAACTTACACATGGCAAAGACTAAAATATTAAACTCATAGCCCTGGGCTTGCTCTGAGGAAGTGCACTGCTGCAGAAAGCCACAAGGATCAGCACTGGCTGAAGATTCAGCTACCCTAAAAAACTGAGCTACTACTATGTGAGTTTCACACACATTGCTTATATAACTGTGGCTTCTTATTCCTGACTCCAGTAACACTTACAGAAAGTAACAAACAGACAACCAGATATGGTGGGTTAGTTGAGTGCAAGAACTCTACTAAAAAAAAAAAAAAAAAAAAAACAACCAACAAACTTGACTAGGATCATCCTCCTAAGAGAGGCATTCTGATGAACTATAAAGCTCACAGAATCCTGGGTCATTCACAAATCATTAGGACTTTGCAAACTTCAAATCACAGCTTAAGACCCATGGATACCTTCGAACACACATCCTGACATATGGCTTCCCAGGGTTTGTCTTCTTAAATTTGGCCACAGCATCTGCTTGATACACGTTGAAGTCTATCTTGATACTCTTCAAGTCCTCTTGTAGCCTACAGGAGAGGGAAAACATGCACATACCTAAGGGATCGAAACACCGCAGGGTAAAGATGCTGCAGATAAAGAATGAATAAAAGCTCTAGAAGCCTTGCTAGTTTGAGCCCTTTGAAAGGCTTCTCTTCTCAAGGGACTGAACCTCGGGCTGTTGTAGTTACTTTCTAGACCTTCCACTTTCTGTAATCAGATCAGAGCAAGCTGTCACTTGCCTCTCATTGCAATCCCTTGCAAAAGGTACCATCAGCAGACAGAGAAGCAAAGAACTGCTTTATCCTACCGAAACAACACACAGACAATCAACTCTTTGAGGCAGGAGCAGAACCAGAAATCCCAGAGCCTAGGCTTTAAGACCCTTGCAGGAGGGATGGCAGCACATTACAGAGATAAGTTACAGGTAAAACCCAACCAAATCTCTTGAGGACATCACCTGGCTGGCGTGCAGAAAGGGAACAGTGAGAAAAAGAGAACAACCCCAACACAATCAGCCTGGAATGCCCCATCTCTGTTACTGCAGCACTGTCCCTGACCCAGTGCTTTGTAGAAATGCCAGCACCTCACTACAGATGCAACAAAATCCCAGATAGCTCCTGTGCTGCTGTTGTGAACATCTTGCAGACCTCATAAGCAGGGACAGTCACAAGACAGGCCAGCCACAAACCCTACCAGCTACGGGCTGGCTGGGTACTAACCGGGAGGCTCCATCCAGTATGTGGGAAGGCTGCAGCACACTGATCTGCTGGCAGACTGCAGCTGGAGGGAGGAAGAACAGGAAAGAATCAGACCAGCTACTCCTGTCCCAGGGCAATCCAAGCACTCCACCACTCCCACCCACGAAAGTCTTCCTCCTCCAACAATGGCTGGCAGCACTGTCAGAGTCACCACGGGATACTTCAAATGTCTTCCTCACCTCCTCCCAGCATGCAGCCCTGAACATCCTGAAAGTGCTTTGCAACTTGCTGGCCCTGACTGCTTAATAGTCCAGCACGAAAGACTGAAATACAGCAAGATACAGAGAATGGATTAGAAGACCTCCCAAGGCCCTGTCATCCTGATATTTGAGTGGGCCACATAAAATTACAGGAGACAGAAAGGCAAGACGACAAGCTTTCTTCTCTCCCCCCAGTCCACATTCAGCTCATCTGTGCCCACTTTGCCTAGGCCTTCAAAATGAGATTTTTCTTCTCAAAGCACTACTCCCCTAAACTGATACTTAGTATCTCCAGGCCATCCCTTTTGCTGCTGCATAAACAAGCCTCTCCCAGAGCTGTGGAAGACTGAGAGTATCTGTGTCCTTAGTAGTCTCCCATAGCCCCTACCAAATGAGGTAGCTTCCTCTGGCTGCAGAAGTGGTGTGACAGCCTGGCCCCACATATGTGGTGGTTGTCTCCAAACTCTCTGCTGGCTCCTCCATCTCAAAAGAGCTTTGTATTCCTGCCAGTTGATGCAGCACCTCACTTCCCTGTCAGAATTGATACTGCTCTTGTACTTGCTGTCCTTTGCCTGCTGCTCCCTTTCCTTCTGTGACAGCTTCTCCTTTTTTTGGTTGATGCGTCTGCACCAAGATGCTGCATCAACCTCTCTTCCCAGCACATTTTCTGGCAGAAGCTTGTTGTCAGGTGAGGGCAGATGTACGCATGGCTCATCTGGGGCCACATTTGGCAAGAAGATCATAGTAAAATCCCAGCGTGGCAAATGGATGCCAGTGCTGCTCGCCTTCTGGCCTCCAGTTCCCAGACTCCAGGAGGGGCCTGGGACATTCTTTCGTCCTGTATCAAGGGGAACTGAGTTTGATGTGACAGACCGCTCCTCTCCATTGCCAGTATCCAATTCCTTCAACTGCTCTGACAATGGCTTCTCCTCCAAGGGAACACAACTGAGTTCTCCACAGTCATGTCCGCCTTTTTCACAGGTCCTTTCAGCTTTGGGAAGGTCCTCGGATACCTTATGTTTCTTCTCACATGATCTGAAGACAGAAACAGCAGCACAAAAACCATTAAGGGTTAGTGGTGATATATTATTCCTTTTAAACCCTGCTTTCTCCAATGTAATAGCAAGAATACACTCCACTGTCCTGAAGTAAGGATGGCAAGGGTGTCAGGGGTTTGCAGACAGGTCTGCAAACCCCTGACTACAACCTCATGTCTGGAAGGAAGGTGTATGCTTAACAGAAGAGGAAAAAACCCACAATCAAACAGGCCAAAACCAAACAGAGAATGCCAGAAGTAGAATAAACACCTCAGCAGCCCTGCATGAAGTTTGACTTCCACAGTCAAGAGAATCTCAGCCTTGATTCGTATACACGCTCTCAACCCACCCTGCTGCCTCCACACATCCTGTATGCTGAGCCATGCACTTCCATGCAAACACTATGGACATCAGTTGAACTGAGCACACCTCAGATACCAGCACTACTAGGCACAAACATGTCTATCAGTATATCCTACTGGTGCCTGGCACCAGTCCCTGGCTTACAGAAAAGATGGAACAGTTCTGAAACAAGCAGTTTTATCTCCCAGTTCCAAAAACTTCACAGCTCTTTAGGCATCAATTTATTTAGTAACAGGAAAGAACCCGCAGATCAGTGTCTTCCTCCCTGATTTTTTTTTTTTTAAAGATGATGCCACCTACTGGAAATTTTTGTAATTATAATAGCAAAGTTAGTCATTACATTAGCTTCTGTTTGTATTTTTGACGACTTCTAGAGCTGATATACAAGGATCACGACCCAACTACACCCTCTGCTGTGCAATCGTAACATGCAAACTCCATCAACAAGGCATAAGATGTGCAGAATGGACACTTGTCTCTAGTCCCTCTAAAAAAGAGAGAGAAGACACCTGCTACATTTCTTCTGCACTGATCTCTCTCTGCTTCCATTCTGACATCACTCCATTTGGGAAGCTTAGCAGCATCACATTAGCCCTGGATGACATACAGATGTGACAGAAAAGAACACTGCAAAGGGTTCACAAATAGCACTGCAGTGCTTACAAATGTCACTATACAAAGTCAACGTAGCTTGGGAGAGCATGGAAGGCAGCTCTGGGCCACATCCTTACCCAGGGCTGGAACTCCTCCTCCTTTTGTGATGGTGTTTCCCAGAGCTCTTGCAATGACTTTCCAGGTTTAGTTGCCTCTCGCAGGGAGACAGGACAGTGCTGAAAGGAGACACCAACAGAGACTGAGAGCATGGCAGGGTAGAGAAAATACTCTTTTGCTCAATCTCCAGAAAACAGCAGCAAAAAACTCTTCTTCCAGGAAGAAGAAATCCACAAGAAAGACTAAAGTCATCATAAATTCACATCACATTTCATATTAGCAGTAACCTCCTCACGAGGAAAGAGGAAAAAAGGGTAGGGTGTCACTTTTAGCCTTTAGACAGACACAGAACACGGGGACAAATCCTCTTCTCGTTTGTTCCATGAGAGCTGCAGAGTAGGCACAGGGTTGCTCGAGGTCTTCAAAGAGGAGAAAGCAACATGGAAAGAGCTGATTACCTGGGGTTGAATCTCAGTACAATATAGCCCAGCTGCTTCAAGTGGCTGAAGACCTTGGAGTGAAGGAAAACAAGAAAATTAAGTGTCTGCCCTATCACCAAAGAACTTTCCTCACTTCTGCTGCAACTATGTAAACACTGTATTGCATGGGCAGAGGAAAAAAAAAAAACTCTAAGGTTAGGAGCTAGAGTAAAGATAGGGAAACAGGAAGTGATTATCTGGAAAAAGATGAGCGGGGGTGGCAGTAGGTGGAGAAACTCAGAACAACTCCCCTTCCTGTCTACTCTGTCCCTGGGAAAGGTCACGTGGCAAAGGCTGGGCTCAGCTTCCTGCTTTCATCCTCTGCTGGAGCTCCCAACACACCTGGTAATGTAGCAGGTTCATTGCCTCCTGGGACAGCAGAATTTCATAGGCTTCCTGAACTGACATGGGCACATCTTTGTAAAAGAGCTGAAGAGAGCCCTGTGGGGATAAAGACTCATGTTTAGAGGATCACAGGGAACAAGTCTATGCAAGGTCATAGCAGCATCTTGTCACTGGGTCCTGATAGCTGGACCTAGCACCCTCCTTGCCTTCCCAAGCGCTTCCTGGATTACTACCTACAGTCCCTCCTCAACACTACGGTTTTAGCAGAGAGGTAAGAAGTTCTTATCCAAAGCTGTCAGCTCCTTGTCCGAGCACTACCCCTTAATACCACTGCATCTGCTCAACAGTTGAAATACAGTTGTTTTGGGAGATAACTTCCTTTAATTTTGAATATCTCAGTGATTCAGGACACAGCACAACAACAAAACATTTAGTACTAGCAACATGGAGAAAGCTGAGAAAGGGGAGTTGAAGGCATCCTCAGATACTACCAGTTGGTGGCTCTTTAAACATTTACTGCAGTCTCAATCCCAAAGGTAAATTTCCCTAGGCAATAACAATTAACCTCCAGAGGCTATGCCTCTATTTACAAAAACAAGCAACAAAAAACATGTAGCTGGTCTTCTCTGCTTCTGGTATGGATTCTGTACTTAGCAATTGATTTTTATTTATTTATTTTAAGGTCTATTGCCAAATTGCAAAAGGCAAAAAAAAACATTCAGCTACTGCAATAAAGACTTAATATCGTTAGATGCCCATAATCTGATTACGGGCAGAAGAGCTCCCCTTTAGATTAGTGAACCTAAGCCACTGGTAACAGCTGTCTGTGAAGAGAAAACCCAGAGTTAGTACTACTTTACTAACAGTAATGCAGATAATCCAGACGCTTTCCCAGTCTCTACCATCATATCTGATATATGAGTGAGATAAAGATAATACCAACTGTATGAACTGGCTACTGATCCAACTGACATATCCTATCAATAGCATAAAGACTGCTTTAGAATGCAACAGATGAACTCACGGCCTGGAAACCAACACTGCCAACAGCGAACACGCTAAGAGACAGCACTTTGAGAACCAGAGAGAACTTATCAACTGCTCAGTTTGCAGTAACAACCAACACACATTAACTGACTTTCAACTTGAGTCAAAAGGGGAGTAAACGCCTAGCTACTACAGCTCCTTCAGTCATTCCTGAAGAGCCCAATGCTCCCATCCACACGTAAGTAGCCTACTTACACACTCCAGCAAGTACAGAGCCTCCTCAGGCAGCAGACACTGTTTGCCACGCTCTGAGAACCCCATAGTGTGCCAGAACTTCCCCTGCAACAGAAGCACAAACCTATGATGGACTTTGGCTGTTCACTGCTGACAACCATGCTCACTCCCATTTCAAGAAGCAAAAGAAGGAGTTGCCAGCAGGAGATGATGGTACTGAGTACACTCTGCAGCAGACTCACCGCAGGGGACTCCAGCTCCACAATGCCCTGTTCTGGCTTCCACACGGCTTTCACCAGATTCTCCCTGAGAAGGTTAAAAATTAGGTCTTTTTATTACCAGCATGTTTTATATCAGCCACAATCAACTCCTGTTCTAGTAACTTAACAAGGTCAAACAACAGCAAGCTTTCAGGTAGCATTTTTACAATGTAAAGCCTGAGAAAGCTGCCATTCTTTCCATCTAGCAATACTGGGTGACGATTTTATCATCACCAACTAGTTATGAGCACCTCCAGGCAACACCCAAATGTCAGCCCATACTGCAGGAAACACAGCTACATGCCTAGTACCTCAATTTCCCTGTGTCAGGGGCTGTTATATGAAAGGAACCTTAACCCTTCCAACCTCCTTCCCATTCTGAGAGCCTCCATTGCTGCTCCAGGCACGCGTTTATGGATATACAGTGGAAGACAACAGCCCACTCAGCCTTGCCTGAAAGCCACCACTCTGAAAGCCTGTGCATCTTCGTGCAAAGGGTTTCTACCACTTAACAATAACAGAAAAACTGTTACCACGTGACTGCAGAAAAAGTGCCAGGCAGCTGCAGAGAGAAACCACGAGTTCCAGAGCACAGCAGAAGCCACCAGAACTGATGCACAAGAAGCTCCAAGAGCTGCCCGAACCGCAGCACCACTGGCACGCGGCCCGCAGGCCCACCCCATAGCACCAAGGGGCTGCGAGGGCCCATCCAAACCGGCTATGCCACCCACTGCCGCTTGGACCCAAGCTCGAGGCCCACAGACTTACGGCCGTTCCACGCGCTCCTCAGCCAGCTGCCGCCGCTGCTCCTCCAGGCACAACCGCAGACGCTCGGCCTGCCCGGCAGAGCCGTCGGGCGCGAACTCCTTCTGGCCACAGGAGCGCCGAGGGGCCCTATTCCGCCTGCGGGGAAGAAGGGAAACGGTTAGAGAGCAGCAGCACCAACACAACCACCACCAACTTTACTCATCCTCGCCTCGGCCACCGGAGCTGCACTTTTAAGGCCTTTCCCGCCCTCGCTGCCCCCTACCTCAGGCGGCGCGAGCAGCCCGGCTCCATGGCTGCACGCCGCGGGACGCCCCTTCCGCCCTCCGCGGGGCCCTAGCGCCGGCGGAACGCTACAGAGCTTAGCACGCCCCCTGGCGGCTCGGAGGGCGGTCAGAGCCGGGAACAGACGCAGTGCGGGCTCCGAAGCCGTTCGCCGGCGGTGTGAGTGGAACTGTACACCAAATTAGCAGAAAAACAGTTGGAAAAGCTGACGAGTCAAGTTAAAGGCGGGAGATCGCTATCTAATAACCTCGAAAAAGTAGTTAAATTTCATTCCAATAAAATAAACTTAGATAGTGAGAAAAAAAGCACCTTCTTCCTCCACCTCATTGTCTTAGGCAGACCACCTGATTTTTGCATAACTCAAGAATACCACATACTTTTCCTTTCAAATTCCAGTCTGTTGCCCCCTTGTTTAACTCAGTTTTTCCTTAAAGTAGAGAGGAAATGGTTTGGAAAAGGCTCTAATCCAGAATTTGCTTTTTGCACCTACTATGATTGTAAGACCCAGCAACATCAAGACTAATCTCAGTTTACATTTCTTTTCAATACTGGGATCTTAGCTATCACAGAGGGATCCAGCTGTTCACATAGGCACCAATAACACCTTCTCCCTGATAAAGCTCATCTTTTCCCAGCTGAAACCACTTAATCAGCCCTAACTGGCTGAGTCTCATTAGCTGGAAGTGGGAACTGCACTTTCTTCTCACTTATAAAGAGGTGAGCAGGGAATCTAGTTGTTTTCTTCTCTTGTGCTCAAGCAGGGATTTTTAATGTGAGCTTTCTTTATATCTGACTTGAGACTATATCTGTAGCATTCGTAGTATGGAGTTTTTTGTTCCTTTAAGTTTAGGAGGCTTTTCTTCCTTATTCTGAGTAGGTCCCAGCTGTCTTTCTTATCGAGTAGCTATATATGGTGGCAAACCTAAAATGCTACTGATGGGGAATTTCCTGGGCTCTCTGCAGTTATTCTTTGTAGCAGGGTAAAGGAAAACAGACAGATGAAAAATGTTCTTATTTGAGCTAAAATAGCAGTTGAGGAGCTGCTTAGAAAGCTGAGTGCTAGTAAAGCAACTTTGTAACCACATAGTCAGCTGAGAATTACAAGGATGGATAGGTGACCACGATCCTGGATGCTGCTAAGGAGGGAGAGAATGGGTGTGTGGTATCAGGGAGTAGAGCAGGATATGACCTTCATTGTCAGAGCAGTACGTATGGCTATGGAGGAGCTGCAAAGGAGGCTAACAGCAGATGCCAAAGCTTCTCCCCCATTGGAACCCTTGCCCTTCATTTAGACAAAAAACTTAACACGAGCCAGCAGTGTGCCCTTGCGGCTCGGAAGGCAAATGGGATCCTGGGCTCCATCAGAAGAGGGGTGGCCAGCAGGGACAGAGAGGTGATTGTTCCCCTCTACTCTGCTCTTGTGAGGCCCCATCTGGAATACTGCGTCCAAGTCTGGAGCCCCCAGTACAAGAAAGACAGGGAGCTGTTGGAGAGGGTCCAGAGGAGGGCCACAAAGATGATCAGGGGGCTGCAGCACCTCCCCTATGAGGACAGGCTGAGGGAGCTGGGCTTGTTCAGCCTGGAGAAAAGAAGGCTGCGGGGTGACCTCATTGCAGCCTTTCAGTACCTAAAGGGAGCCTACAAAGAGGAGGGGAATCAACTCTTTGAAAGGGTGAGTGACAGCAGGACAAGGGGAAATGGTTTTAAGCTGAGGGAAGGGAGATTTAGGTTGGACGTCAGGGGGAAATTCTTTACGGAGAGAGTGGTGAGGTACTGGAACAGGCTGCCCAGGGAGGTTGTGGATGCCCCGTCCCTGGAGATGTTCAAAGCCAGATTGGATGGGGCCCTGGGCAGTCTGGTCTAGCATTAGGTGGAATGGTTGGTGGCCCTGCATGTGGCAGGGGGGTTGGAGATTCATGATCCTTGAGGTCCCTTCCAACCCTGGCGATTCTGTGATTTGCTTGGAGAGACGTAATGCTAAATGCACCAACACTGCATCTCAAGAGTATATCTCAGAACAGGTAGGCTGTTCAGGCTTTGTCCACTTTTTTGTTCTTTTTTTTTTTTTGGGGGGGGGGGAAGTTGAAATGACGGATCTTAAGAAGGCAGTCAGAAATGGCAGGTGAAAAGGAAAAAAATTGGACTGGAAAACAAGGGAGAGCTGAATTTGAGCCTTCTGAACAAGGCAGCTTCTTCCTGGCTCCCCTGTCTGTTGCTGACCCTAGGGTTCTGGATAGAGCAGAACTGATGTATGATAGAATGTTTTTGAGTTTTTTTTCTGTTTTCTTTTTTTTTTTTAATTGTCTAATTATTACACTTAATTATATTTCTATAACCAAAATCTCAGCTCCTTGTTTTGAGAGCACTGTATTGACAACTTGAACTACTTAAGAATATAAAAAAGGGAATGTTTGGCAATTAATTCAAACAGGATTTGGCAGGCCTTAAATAGCCATTAAAGTACTTGGACTTGTGAGAACAGAAGATAATAAGGTCAGGTGTTGCAGCTTGTCTGGGGTATGTGGGACCAGTCTGCTTGAGAGCTGTTAACAAATTCCCTGCTGCTGTAGGGTGCTGGTGATGTCTGTGATTGTTACAGCAGTGTGTTACAGCAGATTGTATGGGAACAGCATTGGGAAGACTTAAATAAGAAGGGGATTTCTGAGGCAGGTTTCTGGGCTAAAGGATTAAACAGGTGAGGTGTAGGGACAAGATTTTCAAGTAACATTTGAGAACTGGACTTTGGATTAAATGCATAACAATTGTGTGTATGGTTCGCTAGCTTATGCTGTTGCCTTCTGATGGATGAGGAATAGAGGAGCTTAAATTTTTCTTTCTTCCTTCTGATGAATGTGTTGTAGTAGTGGTCTTGCTGTGATCATTCATAGTCTACAGCGTGACTGTTGGGACTCTGATCTGTGGCAGAAAAACTAGTAATAGCATCATCATTTATTGAACTAGTTAAGGCCCTAAGTGATGGCCTGAATCTGGGTTTTCAGTCACTGCTGTATGAATTTCTAGAGGTACTGTTTGACAGTTCTCTGAACATGTTTGAAATTACTTACTGAAACCTGCACATTGTTAATTATACTTGAAAAGTCAAGGAACCATGGACCAAAACCAGACTTTGTCTTACCTCAGTGATCTACTGTTCTAGGCTGGGACAAATGCTGACCTCTGGAAAGAATGGTTGAAGCTTTTCTAATTTTCCCAGTGTGCCTTGGCATGCTGTGGGTTTCTTGAGTAGATTGTCAATCTTGCACTAGGATGCCTGCCTTGAGGTAAAGGAGCCTTGCTGTTTGAAGTTCAAGGCTACAGATTACGCTTTTTGTTCAAGTTTCATAACTTCTCTGCAAGGTGTTTGTACTCCCTGTGTATTTTGAGATGTCTTCCCAGGGTTTTGGTCTGGAGAAGCACTCGCAAACCTGCAGTCTTTTGCTAAGCTTTACATAAAAGAAGTTGCCTGGTAAGGAACTGCCTTGGAGTCAGAGACAAGAGACAGTGTAAGTCTTTGGCTTGTGCTGGGGCATGGGAAGGAGGAAATAGTGTTTAAGGCAAGAAACTGAGAGACCAAGGTTCTGCTCTGCACTTTCTGATTAGTGTTAGAAGCTTTAGGTTCTTCCTCACCTGTTCTGGGCGTCCCGGACTTAACATCAGCAGCAGATGTTAGAGCACTTGCTGTGGAGGTGTGTTGCAAAGTTCACATATGTACAGTAGCCCTGGGGCACCAATGAGTATTGCATGCATCAGATTCTGCCACGCATTCAGGGACTGTCCTGTATTTTTTTCCAAATAGTCAAGCTGCTCCCCACCCGCATAATGTTGCTATTTAATATTGACATAAGGTAATAGCCTGCTCCCATGCTTGGGACTGCTGTGCATGCTTGTCTAGCAGTGAGACAGCTGGGGAGACTTCTGGCTGCTTTGGGGGATAGTTTATATCCTGCTGCTCTTTGTCATCCTGGTGGCACTGAGTATTATAAGAGCAGTTGGCAGGTGCCTCTGATCTGGAGCTGTGAGAGCTGTGCTTGGTTCCTAGTGGTTACTGGAACCTAGTAAACCTCATGAGGTACTTCAGCTTCCTTCAAACACCAGAGCTGAGACCTTAGCATGTGTAGTGGAAATGCTAAGTCAGGACCTGAAACAGTGATTGAGCACCTGGTGGGAAGCAGGGCCAAAGGAGCTCAGGTGCATGCAATGTATCTGAGTGACCTGAAGGGGTGGAGCCAGGATCCACCCATTCCCAGACCTCATTTAAGCATTGGCAGTGGAGGCAAGGGTGTTTTGCCAGAGATCCCTCCATACCTGAGGCCTTCTGAAGGTAAGCAGCTTTTTTTCCTTTGTTTCTGTGTCCTTGCCTGCTGCAGTTGGGCTTATCCTCACTTGCAGCCTAAGACTTTGCTACTCTATTGTTGCTGTGTTTTCCATTGTGTTACAGCATTACAGCACAAAATTTAATAGCAGGTGTCATTTCTAATATACTCCTATAATGAGGGTCTACATTTCTTCTCAAAGGCTTTCCCTTCATTGGAGCAGATATCTCTGTTTAGATGCTTTCAAATGCCTTATGTCAGCTAGAAGCACCAAATGACTCCCACCTCCCCAATTAGAAATGGAGGCTCCAGATGAGAACCCCTCATCAGTTAGTGACTCCTTCCCTGCACTGTGTCCCCTCCCTGACCATGCAGCAGAAAGGCTGTAGGAGGAGTGTGAGTGGACAGATGCATTGCTGTGTTCTCCTGGATGCAAGCAGAAAATGGTGTTTCTGTGTGGCCCCAGCATCAGGCAGGAGTAATGTGAAGCAAGTGGACTGGAAACAATCTGAACTTATGTTGTTCGTCTCCCACCAGTGAGTCTGTTGAATGAAATTCAATTAGCAACCAGGGAAGACTGGTAAGACACTGATTCCAACTGACTCCCAAGGGCCAGTGAGTCACCTCTCCCCACCTGGCAGTATATGCCTGCTCTCCATCATGGTTACCCAGCTGTCATGGGCAGGATTAGCTGTACAGAAGCTTCATGTGGAGATCAGTTTTTGGGGAAGGATGTCACTAACCTGCTACCTGGCAGGGCTTTGGGACCTCAATTCCAGCTTTCCCTTAGGGGTGCAACAGTGGAGCAGGCAGGATTAGATTTTATTGCCATATGTCCACAGTTTGTAAGTGGGGATGAGGATACTGTAAATGGGTTAACTGATGAGGTTGAGCCAGGAAGTGAACCCTGCAAGCACAGCCGAAGTTGATATCTGTTGATAGCTCAGGAAGTAGAAGTAAATAAACTGGGCAGTATGCCCCTTATGGGAATTAAGAGCACAGCTGTGACATGGGTTTCAGTCACACCTCAAAGGATGAGGAGGGGAACAGGAGTGGGGGAGAATAAACCCATCTGTCTTCTTGCTGTCTGATGTGGTAGCTAGCAAGCACATTAGGAAAGCGTTGGTGAAAAGAACAAAGGAAGTGTATTTCATCCAGCATGGCAGGCTCTCAAACCAAGCAACTAGCCTGAAAGGGTTCTTTCCACCATGTGTTGTGATGGTTGTGTTATTTAGATTTGGTCTCTTCTTGTGCTCCTAGATGCTTAGTTGGATTTCCTTTAGTTCATATCAAGCAAAGGAGACAAAGGGCTGCATGTGAGATGTGAGAGTGCAGGAAAACATACTGCATTATTTCTGTGCTTTCCTCAACATGCTTTTCACACAGACAGCAGCAGCCCTTCAGACTGCCTATCTGCATGAGGAACTGTGGGTTTTTTCTATTAAATAGAGCAGTGCTTTGTTTTCTGTCTCTGCAATTAGCAACAGATGCACTGGGATGGGGGCAGGAGGTGTTGCATAACAAATATGAACAGAAGAGTAGACAAAGGCATAAATCTGGATACATATCAGAACAATGATAGACTCTGAGTTAACAGAATCTGCTTTGAAATATAGGGTATTTGGTGCCAACCATGCCGAAATGGCATCAAGGAGAAAAGCTGCATTGCTTTATGGGACCAGCTGGTCCTGGCCTCCCTTCTTGATTAGCCCACTGTGTCCCGCTGATTTTGAGCATGAAGCTTGACCACACCATGTCAGACTGACTCATTTAAGGTGAGAATAAGCTGATTGAATCATAAACACCTTTACTGTAAACAAGATAACATCTTTAATGTGCTGCTTTGAGAGCTCAGACAATGAAACCCTTTTTCCCTTCCCTCATACTTTCCTAATTGCTGGTATTAAGAGGGAGGGGGGAAAGATGCCCAACCTTCACCACCTTGTACAGAAATAAGTCTGTCATCCCTTTGGCTTCTGTGTAGGAGAAAGTTAACACAACGGTTTTGTAGTCGTGAGAGCAAGTCTGCACTGGCACAAACTTGCATTCCTTGACCTTTGCTCTCTTCAGGCAGAATATTGACCAAAGAAGTCCCATGAAAACCAGCACAGGTAAGAATTCCTGGCATTTAAGATGGGGCAAAGATTTTTAAGATCATAGTTTGCAAGTTCTGTATGTGTCTATCTGGCTTTGTAGTCCAGGAAAAGAGGGTAGAAAACTAACAAAAATACAGTCATAGGTGTGGATGTGCTTCTGAGGTGAGCAGAGCCTGGAATGGAAGAACACAGCTCTGTTTAACAAACATTCATTAACTCAAAAATCGTCTCTGCATCTGATGACAAAAGTGCTAGTGTTTCACACCAGCCTGCTGTGATCACTAAAGGTGAGTGAATTGCTGTACTCTCTAGTGTGTAGAATGAAGTATTAGCTGCACTTAAATATGTGCAAGTGTCATGAGTGTATGTTAATTACACTTGTAAGCTTAGAAAGTCCTGTGCAGGTAACAGTACAGATGAATAAGAGTGAATTTCTGTTATGGTTATATTGTTGGTGGCTGGCAGCATGAAACCATAAGTATAGTAATATAATTCTGTGCTGTGTGATATTTTTCATGCCACTTTACGTGAAATTAATCTACAGTGAACTGTTCCTTTGTGTTTGATGAAGAGTTTAACAATACCTGCACTACCCCATGGGAGGAGTCCTGTGCAGTCTCAGTATAATCTCCTGCCTTTAGCTGATCTGTGCTGTCTTTTTCCTAGTCTTTGTAATGGGTAAAGTTATTTCCTAATCTCTGACTGTTAAAGCCTTGCATGCAGAATAGGCATCCAATTTTCCTTTAAGTTTGTAAGGCATTTGTTATTTTGTGTAAGCAACTCAGTTTCCTGAGCTGCCTTTTCCCATCTTCATGCTTTACAGATCTCTGCACACTGCATGCTTTTTAGCCATGTTTAAAGCCCTTTGGCAGGGGTTCCCCAATAGTCATGTAGACTGCAAGACACAAGAACAGCATGAGGAACTGGCAGTGTGAAAATAAGCTCATCGGCAGGATAAGCAACAAATCTGTTAGCAGCAGTATTTCTGAGAATTGTTTGCAGTTCTTTGATGCTGTACAACTGCTATCTGCCTGATTTTACTTGAAATATTTAGGATTAGCATCGAATCTATCCAGCTCTTGAAAATACCTTCATTGCTGAACAGGAAAGGACACTGGAAGCAACTGTTGCTGGAACAGAATGCCAAGCAGCAGACCTGAGCGCCTGCCCTCTTGAATGAAGAAGCCAGCAGTCTGTAGCTTCACAAAGAGCTGCCTGAGGCTGCTTCTCCTCCACAGATTTACAGATTAAAAGACTCTCTGCTGTGATTACTTCAGTGTCACTTAGTGAACAGCAACATTTGCAGTCACTGAGTGTGGAGAGTCCTCTGGAAGCAAAGTCTGTTGAGTGGATTCTGAAGCCAGTTTTAGGCATATGCTAGCATCTGTCATGCTGTTGTTGTTGGCAGGCATGTTGTTGTTGCTGCTGTTGTGACATGGCACTTTTGAAGGGCGGATGGCTACTAAGAACTGGCGCTTGAAGGTCTCACTGAGGGCAATGTAGAGAAAGGGGCTGAGGCAGCTGTTGGCATAGCCCAAGCTAATGGCAAAATTGTAGGCATAAAAGAAGGCCATGGATGGGGTATCAATGCCAAGGTGAACCAGCTGGAGGATGTAGAAAGGAGCCCAGCAAATGAAAAAGGCAGAGCAGATGGCAACTGCCATGCGAGTAACTTTCTTGGTACGAATCTGGAGACTCCTTTGGGGCAGTGGAACCACAGTGGTGGTTATGTGCTGCAGGATCTTGAAGTAGACCACACAGATCACAATCAATGGCATGGCAAATGCCAGCATGAACTGGTAGAGAGTGAACCAGTAGATATCAGTCTCTGGGTTGGGAAGCAAGAGAGCACAGCGAACAGTCCCATCTGCCAGAGGCATAAGGCCTGCGTACATCCACACAGGAATGACAGTCAGGAAGGAGAGGAGCCACACTAAGCAGATAACTAGAGCTGCAATACATGGTGTCCGAACATAGGTGGATTTTAAAGGATAGACAGTTGCCAGGTAACGGTCCAGGGTCATCACTGTAAGAATGTTGGTGCTGGTGATCTGGCTGTTGTTGTCCAGGGCAGTGATGATGGTGCACAGGGTTGCTCCGAAGTACCATGAGCCATTGCCTAGGAGCTGGTGGATGAGGAAGGGCATGCCCAAGAGGAAGAGGAGATCCACAATGGAGAGGTTGAAGATGAAAACGTCAGGCACTGTCTGGTTATGCTTCAGCTTCTTCTTCTTGACAATAGTGTAAATGACAATGAGGTTCCCCACAATGCCCAGGAAGCAGATGATGCTGAAGAGACTGGGCATGATCACACTGGTGTATGGTGCTGGCTTCTCTGCTACTGCCAAAACAAACCAAAATCCTAAATGCAATCCAGAAACAGTCTGTTGGTATTTGTGCTTGCCCTATCTTGCAACTGGATCCCTCCCAAAGATGTGGTTTGGAGCACCCTCTGCTGTGCTTGGAGAGGCTTAACTGTGAATGTAACACCTCCCCCTCTGCTGTGCAGTACATGTAACACCCACATACCCCACCCCAAATTTTTTTTGGCTGTGTAGGCATCCTTCATCTCTCCAGAAATACTTCTGTCATTTTCTGGAACTTTCTAGGTTTTGCTGGGGCTAACAGGCTGATATTCTTTGCTCTGTCAATTGTCTGACAGAATTGATAGTGGGAATATTGTGTGTCCGGCCTTTTTTTTTTTTTTTTTTGAAGGAGTGGGTGAGGCATCTTTGCAAATCAAAAGTAAACACCTACTGGTGCCAAAACCCCAATATATTTAACACCAAATCTGTTTGAAAACTTCAGCTTGTCTGCTGGGTAGTTTATCAATTGTTCAATATGAGGCAAAGTTCATTGACCGTGCTAGGACATAACTGATGCTTATCCACATTGTGGAATCTGTGACTGTACCCTGGCTATATCCTATCTCTGTCAGGATCAGGACAGAGCACATCTGCTACCTGTCTCCCTTCTCTGCCTCTCTTTCTGTAGTTTCGGTGTAGAAGAAATCCCAGTGTGTGGAACAGGCAGGGTTTGGAGCATGCTCCAGTATAGTCCTTCATTTTGTACCCAGAAGGAGCAAAAGCATGGCTTAAAGCTGCTCTCTGGCTCCTAGGTGCAGGTAGATTTCCAAGGCAAAATTTTTGCCTGATAGATTATTGGCAGTGATGCTTTGAAGTGGAAGGCCTGAACATAATCAAATTCATGTTTTCTTTGTTAATAACTAGAGTTTTAAATCGCATTTTGAAGCCACGTGCCTGCAGTGCCAAACAATAGAAATTTCTGCTCTTGGGCACCTTAGGTTCTAAGGCATTCTGCAAGTTTCACGTGCACTATGTGATAGACTCTTAAATCAGCTTTCTCAGCTCATTTCATCTCATTACTCCTTTCCTATGGGACCTTTTTTTGTGTGTATTTTGGCTGTCACAGAGATATGCCTAACAGCCCCTAAGCCTAGACTGCATGTGTCTTTTATTGAGTTGTAGGTTATTCAGAATGATACTGACTGGAAATGCTTTTCAGTTTCTTAACTACTGGTCTTCTCAGCCTACTCCTATAGGATAAGGGAGGTTGTCTCCTCCTGCATAACTGAGAAATACTGTAAATGAGATTAAGTGACAGATAATCACAAAACATTCTCAGCCAAAGTGGTGTCTGTTTGCCAGATGGTATATGCTGACTAACATCTAGAATTCTTGAGTACAAATGTCTGCAGATTTGCTTTAGTGTCACTGAGAAGCTTCGCTGAACTGGCAAGATAACTGACGCTGTGTTGCTGGCCTGGACAATGGCTGGAGAGTTATGTGTCACCAATATGTACTACCTCTGTCTGCCCAGGAGTGTGGTGTGAGTTACTGTTGTTTTTTTCTGGTAGTAGGATGCAGTCAGCTTAGGCATACGCAAAGCCAGAATCCAATAAAGTGGGGGCTGTGTCACTTTATCTGAAAGCTTTTATGAGATGATAAAACAGGTAGCAAGGAACAAAGCAGACCTGCCAGGAGCCTGAGGTACAGGTGCAGAGGAGAACCTGATCTGTCAATGGGGCAGTAAGCCTCCTCAGGGCCATATAGGAGATTTAATGGTCCCTTTTCCTTCTGGCTGCTCTTCTATGCAAGGAAATGCTCAATTTAAGTGGCTGTAAATAAAGTAGTGCTATCAGCATCCCACTTGAGACCTGATACTTTGTCTCCAGCATCCAGCTTGTGTATTTCCTGAACTTTCAAACAGATTTCACACCTCCTTAATGCTGAAAGATGGAAAATTAGAGACTGGAAAATGACTGTAGTCCTGATGTTCTGTGTGTAGCTGTTATGAGCTGTGCTCTCCTTTCTTTTAGCCTGAAACTTTGTTACTAGTGCAGTGGAAATGGATTATACGGTTGAAGTGTAAAAGCTGGTTGTTTAGCTGAAAACTGAAACAAAATATCCTTTTTTTGCTGTGTAATCAATAGAGTACTCACGGTTACCCTTGTAATATTTTTGAATGAACTCAGCTGATCTTTGAGTGAAGTATGCACAAGCCCAAGGGTTTTGTGTGAGGTGTGGTTTGTATAGAGCTGTAGCATTTTGTCTGATGTTGCTATTTGTACAAGCAGGAGGTACAAGTGTTGTTAGCTGGAAGCTGGACTTCATATATGCTTCGTGGAATGGAGTTAGAAGTGTGTGATTACCAAATTCTCAAAAGTTACCCCTTATCTCAAGAACATAGAGGCTTTAGAAATGGCTGAATCTGATTTTTCATGATGATTTTGTGCAAACCCAAGCAGCTGTACTTGTATACCAAAAGAGTTACTTCTAGGCATTGATTTGTCCTTGCTTCCAGATCTCTGGCTGCCCTGTTATTCCTGAAAAGTCACAGTGCAGAATCAGCCTGGATTGTAGTCTTCAATCATGCCCAAATGCACAGCAATATACATCTTTATTGCATCTCAGAAGATAGCACCTAAAACGTGCTTTTATGCAATAAAGAAGATATTGAGCACGAAAAATCGTTTGTTAAACACTTCCGTTGTACTCTCAAGAGTACTGCCTTACTGCCCCTACACAATTTGTCTGACAACACTGATAACATGCAGAGGGCAGCAGACTGGGGGGCCTCTCTCCTTCCTGCCCCAGTGATATTTTACATTCTTTGTCTTGCTCTCCTCTCCGTCTGCCAGGGCATGTTCCTCTCCATCCTCAGTACTAAGACCCCAGTGGCTGCTCCTCGTAGCCCACCTCCCCTTGGGCCCCGCCGTCGGACACTGCGTCTCCCGGGAGCGCCCCGTGGTGGGGCCCGGAGCTGTCCTTCCTCGGGTGCTGAAAGCATAGCAGATAGGACACAGCCCCAGCGTTCCCTGTGGCCTTCCTCCTGGCCCCTGCCCTTTGGGCCCCCTGGCCGATCAGTCCCCAGCAGAGCACCCTGCAGCCCAACTCACCTGAGCTATTCCGAGCCTCCAACGTGGAGAAATTGCGCAAAGAGCTGATGGGGGCCATGGTAATTAGCCCCGGGGGCTGAGGTTCTTCTCAAAGTTGGCCAAATTGCCTCCAGGAATCCGTGGCAGCGATGGGGTGGGTCCCACAGCCGGGGTTGAGCGGGGTATGGGATGCAACAGTGCAGTCTGCGGCTCGGCTGTGCACTGCTTGCTGGCTCCAGTGCTGCTGAGCTCGAAACAGGTGCTGACATCAAGGAGCAGCTGACTGGCAGCCACTTCAGCTGAAAGCATCCTTCTGTTGCTATCGGGTAGGAGGGGATGCTGGGAGAGAGGGAGCGGAGGGGCATTGCCTCCATGGAGTTGCAGCCAGTGCCCCTTTGCGTCATTTTCCCTAGATCCCCTGATGGACAGCTGAGATTTACACCTTCCCAATTACATCCAACTTTCTCTCACTGTTATCAGTAGGAGATAAGAACTACATTTTTCCTTTTATGTATCTCCACTCTCTTGCCTTTGCTATGGATTTTTCTCTTGACTCACATGCTCTTTTCATTCCTGAGTCACAATCCTGTCCCCACTAGTGGGGCTGGGGGATATCAAGGTGCCAAATCACCCACTGGAAGGCATTGCTTTGGTTATCTGACTCCTTTAACTCGAATTTCAGCTTGAGATACTTCACTTGTAATTCATTTTCTGCTGTGTTTCTTGTCATAGCTCATTTGTATCCTAGTTCAGAAATTAGCTAAACAATTATTTAAACTCTTGTTATCCATGCTGGATTTCTAGTTAATTAGCACAAAGTGGACTTTTATCCAAAGCTTGATGACCATCACCTCTGTGTGCAGGCTAGACCTCCTCCTGCTGAGAGATCTGATCTGTCTGGTCAGTCCTAGATAATTGCAGTCCCATACTGCTAACTTGAGGCTTTAGTCTTCAGCTTCTATCTATTCTGGCTACTGAGAATGAGCCAAAGGCCAAGACAGCAGCTTTATGTGATTTTATTTTCATTGCTGAATGTTAGAGGACCTCAGAGATGGAAGCAGAGCTTGTCCTGTGGTGAGGAAGCAGAGTGGCTTGCAGGCTGTCCATGACCAGCATGCAGAACTCAGGGCTGTGGATGTGCTCTCAGTAAACAGGCAGATCTTGCTGCAGAAGTTAAAAGGTTGCAGGCAGTACTCAGTGTCAGACAGAAACAGTCAGGAGCTCCAAGGGAGGCAAATCCAACTGCAGGATGTGGTGTTGGTTGTGTTGCTTCTTTTCTTATGAAAACAGGCATTAGCATGAGGAAGAGAGGTGTAACTTGAACTCCTCCTGAGCCTGAATAGCGGGAAAAAAGTCCCAAAAACTTGAGCTCAATCTGTAGCTTGTGGATAAGTGTGCTCAAGAGGAGAGAAAGAGGCTTTTCTGCATGAAATGATGGGAGGACTAACCAGACTAGATGTCTACCCAGCACCCAAATTATTGCTCTGCTACCCTTTTAATGAGGACGATGATGCTGTTGAACTTGAAAGTGGATATTGCAGATCTGAGATGAAATAAAATTGGAAAGTCTGAGAGGTTTAAGTCAGAGAGATGAGAGAAACTTCACTGCAAAGAGCTGTTGCATGAAACTGCAAATCCAAGCACAAGGATTTATGATAAAGCTGTTTAAAAAGAGGTGATGTTTTATAACCAGTTATTGCAATTCTGCTATCTGATTCTGAGCAGGGAGTGGAAAGAAGAAAATCGTCATAGCTGAGATTCTGAGCTCCAATACACTGAGTCCAGTAAAGCATTTGATATACAGCGTCTCCAAGGAAATTCTTGAAAGTTGGAGAAGATATGGAGAGGCAAAACATCTGTAAAATAAGGAATGAATCACAACTGACACTGGAGACTTGTGTTGGGAGAGAGGCTGTGAGTGTTGATAGCACTGGGTGGAAAACCCTCCTGGTACAGACCTGCAAGCTAGAAAAATGGCTTGGCTCAGTTAGCAACCAGAGCTCTGTAGCAGCCAGATGTTTCTTTTTCTGTTTGGCTGGTAGATCAGTCATGTACTCTGTGCTGAGCACAGAGATCATAGAATCATAGAATGGCCTGGGTTGAAAAGGACCACAATGATCATCCAGTTTCAGCCCCCTGCGACTTGCAGGGTCACCAACCACTAGACCAGGCTGCCCAGAGGCACATCCAGCCTGGCCTTGAATGCTTCCGGGCATGGGGCATCCACAACCTCCTTGGCAACCTGTTCCAGTGTGTCACCACCCTGACGTCTGGTGTGTTGCAAG